AGTAGTTTGGCTGTACAGCTCAGACAATGTGCAAAATAGTAAAACCAACATGATAAAATTGTGATAAAATCATGAATCGTGATTCTACTGAAAAAAAATCGTGACATGATAATTTTGCCATATCGCCCACCCCTACCTCAGTGTGAAAAGATGGATCTCAAAATCATAGTCATTGTTGGAAAGGGTTCAAATACGCTAAAGATGCTGGAAAACCAAAGAATTTGTGGGACCTGAAAGATTTTTCTGACTGTAAAGACAATGTCCCCACAATAACAGGCTGGTGTAAAACCAATAAATCATTCATTAAAGAACGCAATGCAAGTTTACTGCAACAATGTTTACTTCAACAATACAACGAAATTCTTTTGCGTAACCTTCACATACTTTTGAAAATCCAGCAGGTGATCCTGATAAGCCATCATTGTCACAGATGGCACAATGGCTCCAAAGAAATCTCAATTATGGTTTGCTGCACGAATATTTTAATATTTAAAATTTAGGCTAAACACATCAACACCTAATGAAAGTAAAGAAGTAACAAACCATTACACGCACACACAAAGAAGATGGTGCACAGGGACTGAATTAATTAAATTAATTGGTGAGTCAAGTTTGAACTGGTTCATTTACATGAGTTGTTCAAACGAACCAATTCACTAAAATGAATCAGACTTTTCAACACTAAAAATGAGCTAGAGGACATTTTAGCTTCCTATGCACAATGTGACAAAAAAGGTGATGTAGTTTTTTGTCATGCTACACTTTTGCCTGTTGCAAAAAATAGCTAGCAACTGAATAATTTACACTATATACTGTAAACAAAATCAGGTACAGAAAAAACATAGTTAATGTAATATCTACTTACTTTCAAATTAAAACTCATAAAAACCAGGGAATAATAATAATAAGTTTTTGCTATGAGGTTGTAGGCCTTGTAACAATATCAACATTATGTACATGTTCTGTTTACACATAAATTTCCAAAAGATTGTCTAAAAGAGTACGAAATTTGGTGTAGTCCAAACATTAAATGTAATTTACAGAATTTGATGGCGTAGGATTGCTATGACACAACGTCTTCTGATAATGTGTTGTTTGTGTTTCAGTGAAGGCCATGGGAAGCTCACAGTGTTTGCTATGAAGGCAATGCTAGCTACGATGTGTGGCGGTAAAATACTGGACAAATTACGTTGTAAGTATCATGCCTATAATACAGCTATTCAGCAGTTATTTTACAAAGACACAATAGATATTTTCTGTCATAAAATGGAGTTCATATGATGTATAAGGCTTAATTGTTGTTGATTAGCATTGAATCTATGGTAGTCATTTTGCTGTCTTCTTTTTGCTAAATAGTTACATTTCTCTCTGCTAAACTGTCAGTATTACTCAATTTTAAAGACTGTAAGCTCATACAATGTTTTATAATATGAAATAAGTGTATTTAAGTCTATTTTATATACACAGGCTTTTATTTTAAATTAATATACAAAACGGGCTGTTATGCCAAAAAGTTTCACTGAGGGTTTGGCTCCCTCTTCTGTACATAATGTGTACTATACTCAAAATTACATATAAAATGTTTTCTGGATACTCATTTGAAGTTATTAAAAGGCATCTCAGAACTAATAATAATAATAGTAATAATAATAATAATAGTAATGTGTTTTCATCCCACAAGTGTCTTTTAGCTGTATAGCCAGTTCTGGTCAGAATATTTTGCATCGTTTGATGAAAATACACCAATCAAAAGTCAATTCATCACATTAGCTTGGAATTTTTTTGTGAAATAATAATGTATTTTACCCAGATATGTTTTCCATTTCATGGATTTTTTTTTTTTTTTTTTTAATAGTTACAACTTGTACATTTTAGGGATGCGAATTTGAAATTTCTTTTATAGCTCCACAACAATGAGCATAATTATCATTCTTATTGGTAATGATTAATGATAATTATTAGACTTCCTTATGCATTATAGATAATATGTAAATTAAGCATTCGTTCTGAATAGTTTGTTCTTAAATATTTATCCATGACAACCCAATTGAAAAATAAATATACTAAAATGTATTCGAAATACATTTATTTCATGCTAAGTATACTAAAAATACATTTACATGTTTACATACTTAATAAAAATACCCTGTAATTGTACTTTTGGTAAACTAAACTGGTATATTTAAGGTCTTACTTAATAAACTTTAATTGTGTGGAAGTAGTGCTGAAGTCCATCTAAAGATATTCTGAAGCATATTTGATTGTGCTAAAGTGGAACTATTGCAAGTATACTTCAGGTACACTTTAAATATCTTGCGTTTGAAGACCGATATTATACAGAGATCATACAATCCTTATTAATAGTGATATTAATACACATTTCAGGCATAATATTAAGAAATATGCATTGTGCACAAGTTTAATTATAATTTTTATATCATTAAGTCTCAAGTGATATGTCAAAATATGTTAACAGATTTGAACAATACTTAGTATGAAATAAATGTGTTTTTAATATATTACTGTTTTACTAGGGATGACATAACTCATCTCTCTTTCAGATATATTTTCCCAGATATCAGACTCAAATGGGGTGATGGTCTTTGCCAAATTTGACCAGTTCCTGAGGGAAGTGTTGAAGCTCCCCACGGCGGTGTTCGAGGGGCCGTCATTTGGCTACACCGAGCACTCTGTGAGGACATGCTTTCCTCAGCAGGTGAGTACACTAATCTGCTTCAAATAGCAGCAAGAGTCCCTTTAAAACGATCAGGATCTCATTCAACCTGTCTGGGAGTCTTAGAGGCTTTCACTAAGACTGTCTTATCTGTGCTTTGCCAGAAGAAGATCTTGCTGAATACGTTTTTGGATGTGTTGATGGCAGATCCACCCCCGCAGTGCCTCGTATGGCTACCTCTCATGCACCGACTCGCTAATGTAGAGAATGGTACGTGGGTTTTTTATATCTTATTTCCCATCACCCACTGCGTCTGGACACCTCGCTCACAAAATATGGCTCAGTTAAAACGCGGTTTGCGACTGTCTGAGAGCCTTTGTGCTGCTGTCCCGCAGTCTTCCATCCAGTGGAATGTTCTTATTGCCAGAGTGAGAGCATGATGGGTTTCCGCTACCGCTGCCAGCAGTGCCATGGCTACCAGCTTTGTCAGAGCTGCTTCTGGCGTGGTCATGCCAGCGGTCCCCATAGCAACCAGCACCAGATGAAGGAGCACTCCTCATGGGTATGTAGCGTTAGTTCACCCAAAAATGGAAATTCAGCCTTCATTTACTCACCCTCATTTCATTCAAACCTGTATTAATTTCTTTCTTCCAAGAAACACAAAAGGAGATGTTATGTAGAATATTCAAGCTGATCTTAAGCTTATAATGAAAGTCGATGGTGATTTAAAATGCCCTAAAATGACAAAAGAAAAAAAAAACATAAAGGTACATTATTAGAATACTTATACAGTCATGGTCAGAATTATTGTCACCCTTGGTAAATATGGTTTGTTTTTGGATTATTGTTCGGTTGGAAGATCCAAACATGGCCGATTATAAGATGTCTAACAGAGTCAGTCACTTTTTGATTTCTTATCTGTTGGTATTTGATAGAATCAAAGATGCCATGTATCTAAACAAGATGTCCAGGACCTCCAGCAGAAATATAGG